TAAGTGTTACATGACAGGGTGCTCATAGAATTACAGCATTGTAGGGGTTGGAAGGGGCCCCAGGAGATCATCTAGTCCAATCCCCCTGCCAAGGCGGGTTTCCTACAGCAGGTTGCACAGGAAAGTGTCCAGGCGGGTTTTGAACATCTCCAGAGATGGAGACTCCACACCCTCTCTGGGCAGCTTGTTCTAGTGCTCTGTCACCCTTACAGTAAAGAAGTTTTTCCTTAAGTTTGTGTGCTCCTACCCCTTCACGTAAATGTCACTCATTTCTTCCCCTGTGATGCTCTTTTCATCCAGAAGGACATCTTTGGTGTTCCAGACAATCACCCTCAAAACATACCTAAGAGAGAAGATGTTCAGGGAGAGAATTTGATTGCCTTTATCAGGGCTGCCAGATAGTATGTAGTATATATGGATACTCACTTCTTGGCTTTTCGGGGAGTGATGTTGAAGGGAGGGCCTGGAGGTCCTAAGCTTTTGGGGAAAACATCAACCCACATCTGGAGCTTTCCCTGTAGCAGTGGAGAAGATGGATGAGGGATTGTTTGTTGCATACAGGTTTGTCATGGTAATTCCATAGAACTGCTTATTGACATGCTTAGTACTGATTTTAGCCACCGAGTAAAGCTCACTCATGTTACCAGTGTCAGAACTTCAGACTTCAGATAGGAGCAAGCCCAATCCCTCATGTTATGCAAGCTTCTTCAAATGAACAGTGCCAAGAATTCAGAAGATGGTAGGGATGTTAATTACCAGTGAATTCAGTGCAATTCAGGTGCCTAAATAGTTCTCATTCTATAGGTCCAAGCTTCCGTCAGAAGCGCTGTTAAGTACAGTGTCATACGTGTGGCTGACAGTTTGCAGCCAGTGGCCTACCCAGTGCAGATGACCAGTCCCCTTAGCTAGACTCTGCAGTAAGGCAGCCACTGCAGATTTTATACTCGAATTCACATGCAAGCCTCTTTATTTTCACAGATCAGTTTGCTGGTTGCTGCAGAAACTATCTTAAAAAAACAACCACTGGAGAGTTAGTAAATGCTAGAAAACTAGTGTTAGCCTTTGTTCCTCTCTAACAGAGAGCTCCAGTGCAAGACTTCATGTTTAAACTAGCTAGCACTCTGGCCCTTGTAGAGAAATGACAAGTTTGGTCTCATTTGTTGAATGCAGCCAGGAAGCTCTTGAGACAGGCCATCTCCTTTATTGTTGGTGAGGTATTAAACACATATTCCAGCTTATTTCAGTAACAAAGTAATAAATAAACCTTTCCCAATTTCCAGTCTGTCAGTGTTTAAAGAGCCTTTTGGGGGTCTTAATGGCAAAACGGAACTGCATTTTGTTATGTTTCCAGAATAACCCGCTTTAGTTTCTCAGCCAAGTAATACTAATTTGTACCCCTCTTCCCCCTGAGTGGTACCGCTCTATTGATAACATGACATCGATGCAGGAATAAAAAACTCCATTGCTGCATTCAAGAAATCAGAAGTAAATTGGTTCATAGTACCTGGGAGATGTTGGGCTGGAAGGTGCTATATAAGGTCCTCGTCTCCACATGTTCAGGTACCAAACCCTGGGTTCTGAGGATATGAAGGGCTAGCCGCTCTTCACCTGGACCAAGATGCTGATGCAAAATTTTGTTAGCTTCTGAAAGAAAAGAAATAGAAGAAGAACAGGGGCTCATAAACCAGAATTTGCTTTTGAATGTTTGAAAAAAATTAAAACCAGGTATTTAAAACTGAGCAGAAGACTGTTCAACATTAAAAAAATCAAAGATTTTTTCTAATTATCTATTAATAACTGCAAAGTTTTATATTTGTATCAATATGAATTTAAGACAGAAATATAAAATAAGTGAACAAGCTCACCAGCTTCCTCCAAAGTGTAGTCTCGTCCCCCGTAGTTAATCTTTCTGCCATTCTCAAAGACAACAGGAGGAGCATAGCCTTTAAACCTCGCTACATTTTGCAATAACTGGGTTGGTTTTAGTTGATCACGCCAGGTATTCACACCTGAACTTTTAGGAAAGCAACGGAAACACATCCTAAAATTATTCACCATTCAGGGCATTTACACATCATGTAAAATATATTTATTAAACTAAGTCAGAAAGGGCAGCACTGTTACCGCCTGGATTGAGGTCGCTTGACTTTGATACAGTGACATAATTTTGTACCATCTCAATTACCTTCCAAGACAGAGTGCTTTTTCCTTTACATATCAAAATAATTTACGCTAACAGCTATTTTCATATTTATTTCCATGAGGAGGTCAGAAAATTTGGTTAATTCTGTTAAATTCTCAGACATTATTTTTGAAGAGACTGGGTATTAGATCTTACAGTTAAAAATTTTCAATAGACAAAATGACTTACATGCAATACTGCTGTGGGATGCCACAGTGAGATCCATAACGAGAAAGGAATCTGTTCTCAAGGTCAATTATGGTTTCACCCACTTTTTCATCACGAGTCAATGTGTCATAGTCATAGACTGAAATTTTGAGATCCTTTTCTTGAGGTAGGAAGCAGCTGAGTTCATACATTCTAAACATACAAATGTTCAGTTAATGCTATTGCTCTTCTGAGCAATACTTTTTATTTTTCAATTAAAAAAAACCCAAAACCTTTTTAGTTTATTTTTGAGCCATAGCCTTCATAAGCTATTAAAGGGATGCCTCCAATACTGCTAAATCTAGCAGTAGTTACCACTCATGCCCCATTTCCTATTTGCACTTAACTAATAATGATGTTTTTACTCCTGTGCATATGACATCCTTCCTTTCTGCACAATGTAATACTACTTAGATGTTTGCTGTGCAGCAGCTTGAATTGGGACTGAAAAGAAACTAGTGTGGCTCTGCCGGCCACTTCAAAAAAAGGATGGTTGTTCAATCCATAGTTTCTGTCTGATTAAAAATGTTTATTTTTTTACCCAAATACAAACAAACACACTTGGAGCCTTAAAAAATATGGTCCAAATGTTTATCTTCTATGACTAGAAGGGATTATTCTGTCATCTAGCTGTCCCACTCAAAAGAGACTGTAGAGTTTTCTCAGATTAATTCTCTGAATTTACTTTCATGATATAACCTCATGGTTTCTACTGCTGCTGAATTCATTACCCTTGAGGTAAAGTATTCTATGGTTAATTATTCCCTGCATCTTTTTTTGTTTGTTTGTTTTTATTTCTAGTCTAACTTTTTAACATTGACTTCCAGAATCATTCTGGAAACACTTGGGATTTTGAAGGTACTCTGTACCTGGAATCAAGTCTCTCTGATGTCTCTTTCTTTGCATAATTTGAACAATCGTCCTCTCCTAAATTTCTAATTTATCAAAATCCTCCTCTAACTCTGGACACCAACCAGACCCAAAATTTCATTAGTAATTATAAAGATGATCTAACCTCTCAATTCCTAGTTAGTATTTTTCTATTAATATATTTCAAAGGTTTCATTAGCCTTTGAAGGGAAGGCCAGTGTATTGAGGATACACATTAAGTTGATTACTCATTGTGACATCCAAGTAGTTTTCAGAGTTAAAACTTTTCCCATATTGTTTAAGCATATTTTGTTATTCTTGTATACATAACACAGGGCGGTTTTAAGATATATATATACATTGTTTGACTTTGTGCAATTTACCCATGTGATACAGAAAATGTACAGACTAGCTAAACACCTGTGTTGCTCAGTGATTTCAAAGGGAAATGCCTTATGCAACTTTACTCATGATTAACTATAAGCAGATATTTCAAATAATGGTTTATCTTAAAAATCAGGAAAACATTCTAAAACACAATGAATTGAAAATACAAAAAAAGTTTGTTACCTGCCAAAAATTGGGTTGAGAGTATTAGGCACATAATTATCTCTATCTTCAATTACCTTTTTACTTAGGGATATTTTTATATAAGGATCACACTATTTAAAATAAGAAAAAAACATTGTTAAGAAATAGTTATCAAGATTAATTTTATTTAAAATACACTACAGCAGAGTTAGCTCACAGACATTCCAAAAGCAAAAAGTCTCACCAGCCCATTATTATCCTGGGGTTGAAGCTGCAAAGCTCGAACAATATAAATTCGCACGATACACTCCTGAGGCCCACTGTCTGGCAGCTCACGGAACTGGCGAGGAGGAGCTGGAATAGTGGGATCGTCAGGTAACGCATAGATTTTAAAGGATCCCTAAAAAAATAATGTAAAGACTCAGTCAAGATAAAGTAGAGAAGGCACTCTGCTGGGTTTGTTTTTTCTTATTTTTTGTTATTTCTTATTTTTCCTACATATACACACTGTTTTATATAGGAACAGCAAAATTATAGCCTGATCCACAGTCACTTAGAAGTCTTTTGTTTTACTTCTGTGGGTTTTGGACAAGTCTTACTACAAAGACAAGGTTATATCCTTAGCTGATTTAAATCAACACAGCTCTCTCGATTTCAACACCATTACTCAGTTTGTTCCAGCTGAGAATACGTAACACATACTTTCCTGTCCAAAAGCATCATTTAATGTCTGGGGTTTTTTGGGTTTGTTTGTTTGTTTGTTTTACAGACAATGTTAACATTACTTTAATCTTTAAAAGTCACAGAAATAGTACAAAACACCTTTTCCAAATTTATTCTAAAAATGTACTTTGCTCCGAACATCTGCAGGCGAATCTTCAGCCCTGTTCAAGAGGTTATTTGGGGAGGTTCTGTTCCACAGGTACCAGGGAAGATCAGGAATGATATTTCTTTTAAATTGACATGTATCACGTTTAGTGTGACCAATGTGTAGCTGTACCTTCCCTGAAAAAGCAGGGCCTGTACCTAAGCAGTTACAAGCACCTGCTGCGTGTATTAATGCATGCATCTGAATTTAAGCTGAAATACTGGCATGTAGACTTACTGAAATGCTAACCACTTACATACAAAAGATTGCATCTAGTATTTGGTTGTTGCCCATGATTTGAAATTTACCTTGAATTCCCCAACCACTGATGGATCATTGCTCTCCTCAGATTTGCCTCTGTATAGTTTAAATGTATCACAGAAGTCTGTTAAGCTATTAAATTCAGGTACTTTTTCCAGTTCACAGTCATACACCTTAAAAAAAGAAAAGAATAAGGAAAATGAAAAAAAGTGCAGTTTAGAAATTATCATACATGTCAGTTCCACCACTGTGGCATTGTGAAGTGTATTGTATATGTTTGATGGAGTATCTTAAAGAACCAAAGCTGGAACTGCTTTTATTTTCACATCTAAGCGGAATCAAATGCAAAGAACATGCTATCAAGTTTCATTTAGGCCTTGTTAAAAACAGAGTAAACAGCATTTCACAAGCTTATCTTTACTTTCTATTTTATGTGTATTAGACAAGAAATGAAAGTGGTCAAGCTTCAGCTTTTAACCAACAAACAGTAGAAGTACTGATCCTCTCTGTTCCTGCTCTCTTGATGTGTATATTTATTTAGGACCTGCCTAGCACCCAAAGAAGTCAAGAGTAAAATTCCATTTGACTGAAGGTCAGATTAAACTCTTCCTACATCTCTGAATAAGTGTAGTTAAGTAGAAAACAAGCAAAGATATCTTCTTAAAACCTTAATTTCACCACATGAATTAGTAATGGATCTTTACAGGAAATCATGTGCAGTTAAACTTTGAAGAGCATTTAAAAAAACAAAGGGCATAGTTCTGACAAGGTTTTGGGCCTATGATCATTACGATGTGTTAATTTATTTTATCCTGAGCAATACCTTTAAAGTGTCATATCCTTTTTTAATATACTGTCCACATTTTTCATGTTCTCCTATTGAAGCATAAAATTTGCTCCACCAATCAACAATTTCTTCTTCCTTAAAGATAAAAAATAAAATAAAAAAGTATTTTATTGGGAGATAAAGCCTCTTTTATATCGTGCAGAAACAATGAACAGTTAAGCATACTAAAAGATAGTATACTCTGAAACTTAATATCAGCTAAGTACTATTAAAGGCTCACCTGAAAGAGAATTAAGAGTGTAATGATTAAGGCTAAAAAGATGGAATTTCTCTTACCCAGGTGTAGGTATCTAGTCTATAATCCAGCTGTGTTGATAGTCAACAGCCAGCCATCTCTGAGCAAGCAATTCATTACTGGTATCTAGATACCTGTCTCAAAGGACTGATTTCTGGAGGTCTGGATATTTCTCTCCTCCATCTTCTGGCAGAGCATGGCAGCCTAGCCACCTAAGTTCTAGGTTACTTAAGTCAGAGGAAGTGAATATGCACTTAGCCGATGCAGTCGTTGTTTCAGCTGTTACACCATCATACCTGATATTCATTACAATAATTGCATGACTGTAAAAACTGCATGTTGAAAACCTTTTCCTGAGAGATATATGTGCTAGTTTGCTTTCAGCATTCCCATTTATTTCAAAACAGTTGCCATATAATAACCTTGGGACAGACCTGTAACTGCTGTAACCATGTATCATTCCATTAAAACCAGCAGAGATTGTCTGTATGGTGACAGAATCTTGCAGTTGGAGATCTACCTTAATGGTTACCAAATGCAGTTGAAAAGAAGGAACAGTGAGTCTTGCCCTCTTAAAAATAATATTTCAGTGAGCCTCATGAAACCCTTGATGCTAGCAAGCTATACATTCATCTAAGATGGTATTTCTGCAGGGTTTTTAAATATTTTTATTTATTTAAGTCTGATAATCACTTTGCTCAACAGAATGCTATTTTCTGTATTTATCCATAGGAATTGCATAATATAATTATTTGCCCCTGAAAACATACCTCAGTTTGTAATGAATAGTATTCACTGTGAATGAATAGAATTAATAGTATTCATTCACTGTGTAAATATGAAAAAATCTTTAAGACTGTTTGGGTTTAAAGCGAGTCTTCAAGTCTTCAAGTATCATACAGATCATTAAATGTGATTTTCTTTTTTTTTTTTTTTTAAATATCTAGGGGTTATTATTTGTCTTGCATATTTTTCCTGAACTTACCATTTCACAAGTTGATTGTAAGTTTTATGTCAAACATTTTCAGAGATTACTGTTCTCATCCACAAGCTTAAAATGCTAATTTAGGAGGCAGCACTGATGTACTGATTTTCAATTGGTAATCTCATTTACAAGAAAGCAATGTATAGATTTTTTAAAAGGAGTATACATTACCTTTTCTGTAAGCTGCTCATGAGGATCAAGTCATAAAAAAGAGGAAAATAAAAACAATGTTAAGGATATGGTTTGTAGAATTTTATGCAGTTAATAGGCTTTAAAAGATTAGGGTTTTGTATATGGTATGTATGTGAAGTAAGTTACTAACATCAGTAATTTATAAATACTTTTGAAGAATATTCAGACACCATGTGTTTAACTTTTGTTGTTGTTGTTGCTGTCAGTATGTCCTACATACTAAACTGCAGCATATAAAAAAAAAAAAGCAAGTTTTCAGGACTGTAAGACATTATCATCCTGTGCTTTGTTCTTCATGTAACAAAGCAAAACTGAGAGAAACTTGCTTTTTTCATTGTATCACTGCAGTGCTACACTCTGAATTCTATTTATTGATTTCCATAGTAGCATCATTCCCTGCTTTCATCTGTAGTTGCAGAGAGCACTGGATCTGATTTATTTCAGATGAAAAATTCTTTTTAAGAGCACTTACAAAACTGAATCTATTCCAGAGATTCTTTTCCAAACAAATTTCACATACATAAAATTCAAGGGGGTTTTTTTGCCCTTTTTGAGTATTTACTTCTTTATAAAACAATTTGTGAATGATCAACAGCCTTTTCCCTTCTCTTTCTCCTATTGTTTTTCAATGGTTTACAGACTGTGAATTTTCAGGAGTCTGAAAAGAAATGTGAAGAATTATGAGGTACAGTAACAATCAGTATACGTGTCTATAGATTTATCCATAGAAGTGCAATAACAACCTGCACAATCCAAAATGTTTCACCTGTTAAATCACAGATACTGTAATTATGACCCAGTAGTCCATTAAGAGCAAGCATCATGGTTCCCATTTGGAAGCTGTGATTAGCAAGTGTGATTTGTGCTAGTGTTTATATATCATACCTTGAGTTTTAATTTAAAGGCATAATCCATAAATTTTTGTGCAAAGCAGAAGAAATATGCAGAACATTTTATGCATACAAGCCAAATGCATCAGTAGGTCAGAACATCACTCTGGTATATCATATTCATTTACTCCCATTTCTGTTCTGTAAGTCATTCTCTTGCTGGGATGTTCAGGTCTACTTTACTTTAGTAGTCTTGTCTAACTTCAAATCAGAAATGCAGCATCATTTTTTTTCAGATTTGCATGGGCCTGTCAGATTTTCTAAAGTCAATTTTCTAAAGGCAAGAGTAATTTATTCTCAGAAACCATAACTTTAGTGATCTGCAAAATTCAGAGGCAGGATTCAGTGAAGTAATTTTGAATACTCTGCCTTATTTAAATTTGACTGTTTAAACACTGGTTTGTGATGTTGACCACATGAAGCATAGCTTGCATAATTATGCAATACTAATTTAAACTCCCATTTTAAAGCCTTTTCACAAACAGAACTTGTTTAGAACTCTGAATCTTCCATCAAAGCATAATGTTGGAAGAGTTTAAATTGGGGTTTATGGGTTTAGGTTTTTTTTCCCCTTGATATACCTTCAAATGTCTTCAAATAATGCACTTGGCAACTTCGGGAAGAAGAGGTTAAGAAAAAAAAAAAATCAAAACTTTAAGGCCTTCTTTAAAAGTTCCCAAAGCAAATAATGAGTCTTCAATATTTGGATATTATTGTTACTAAAGCTGGTAAGCAGGATGTGCTCACAGAATGCCAAAACACGGAATGAAATGCCATATGATAAATTTGAGATTTTGGAGTGAAGTATTCACATGGTAAAGATCATTTAATGGTTACTGTCCTTTTTTTAATGTACCCAGTGACTTCACTGTAGACTGTTATACATGAAGTTTTTAAGACACTAACTCTGAACTATTAGCTGATTGAACATCTTGAAATTGTGGGAAAAAAATTAAGACACACAGTGGATCCCTAGAAAAATTAGAGTTAGAATTTTATTTACTGTAGATTTATTTTATTCTCCAGAAAGTAGACTTTTAAACAATGTTTAAATATTGATAGTGTGGTTAAAGAATTCCTGTTATTTTGGTACTTCTAGTATATACATTCCAAATAAGCTGACACACAAAGAAGTTTTTAATAGTTCATACATATTGTACACACATAGTAAGACTTTCAGAAGAAAGATATCTTAATATTTGTAACTAATCATACTAGATTTACAAGCATCATCTCCTCCAAAATCTCTCTCTGGAAAAATAGCCAAGAGAAGTACAGCCTCATGACCACATCACATTAACATTCTTCCCCCACCCGACCCCATTCTGGTCATGGCCATGCATTAGCTCGGTACATACATACATGCACTGTGGTTGGAGATGCCATTTTGCTGAGTGCTGTTGCCACACTGCTTAAACACTGGAAATTGGAATGTAACTGATGAAATTTCAGCATTTTGTGTCCTCAGGGTGTTGTCTGCCTGTCACTTACACTTTCCACAGTTGCATTTATTTAAATTTGAATTGTTTTGAATAGTCTTCCCTCTCTTATATGAATGTTATAACTTTATCTAGCATTTAAAATTTTCCCTCTTATAGTTGAAATCAACTATACGAATTCAATAAATTTTTCTGGCTAAGTGCTAAGTTTTCTTTATTTTTTTAATCTCTTTTCTTAAAATTTTTAAAAGAAATAAAAATTCTCTGTACCACCTATGAAGCATTTATATTAGAACAGAAGGCCTAATTCAGATAAAAGAGACTGTTCTAAATGAAATATTAAGGCCAATTTACATGTATGATGAAAGTAAATACAAGAACATGGTCTAGGAGATACTTAAATTAGAGTCTGAATATCATGACATTAAGATACAGAAGAAGGAATGAAGGAATAACAATGCAATCAATAACATACTCAAATAGCAGTGAGAGTTCAAAAGTTTAAAATCAGTAGTATTTACTTTGGGACCTCCAACAAAAAATTTTGCATTTTTGAAAAATCAAAGTTGTGGATTAAGAGCCTGCAAAATGACTCTATTAAAGGGCATAAATTTGTTCTTCCTTTAAAATAAAAGGCCATCAGAAATTTATGAAAACACCTTCTAGGTAAGGGGAGCATTTTACAGTCCTAAAATAATTGAAAATTTTTCCTTGAGAAGTACTGCCTAGAATTTGTCTTCACTCATGTTTCAACTCAAGAGTAAAAGTCTGTAAGCTGAATTATTTACAAAATTGTATTGTGGTGGTCCTGAAAGAATCAGAGCAGCAGAGAGATTCACAAGGTTCAACAGAAAAGGAAAGAAAAGAAGTGTTAGTGCAGGAAAAAAAATGTTTCAGTGGTATTAGCTTTGGATTACTTCATCGTAAAAGGGGCAAAGCCACAACTGTGATAAAATGAATGGCTGAAGATCTGTGTTACCATGGCTTTGATTCTGTACCCACCAAAGCACACAGTTACTTCTAGCTCCTGTACTTAGAACCACTCAGTCTGTGCAAGATCAGGCTGCACTCACCATCACAGGTGGACAACTGGGTAATGTTCTATCATATGTTTTCAGTAGCTACAGGACAAGTGAATTCATTCTTAAGCTACTGGGTGAACTTCACCATGCGCAAAAAGTCATAGTTTGATGTTTACCATATGAAACCAAAGGTTTAAATGATTAACATATTTCCTTTGCTTTCCTGTCACAAAGTGACTTTGTTACCTCTGACTTTACAGAAGGTTGCGTATGTTTCTGACAATTCTGCTGTCTAGAGAGTTTCTCAGAAATTACAGATCCAAAGAAGAAAGTCAAGCATCAAATTTCAAAGATTACCTGTGCTGCTAGCAGTGGCTGTGTGTCTTCCATTTCAATTACTGTGTCCTGGCGAGGTGCAGCAGAGAGTAGACTAACTGTAAGTCAAAGATTTTATTAAGGCAATATGGTGTAGGAAAAATATCTTACTAAACATATTAATCAGATTTTAAAGCCAAACAATTACAGAAGATGTGAAATAATTCATCATTGGCTGTATGTTTGATCCTCTAAAGAAAGCAATTGGTTGCCACTTTTTGCTGAAAATACACAATATATTTTTGTGCAAGATATGCAAACATTTCTCAAATACACAGAATTAAAAAAGAGTAAAACTTGGAAAATGTCAGCATTGTATTCAGGGCATTCTTGCTGGAATACTGGATCATTACTTTGGTATTTAGTGCAGGGGTAGTCTGCAGGTAGTTAAATTCCAAGTTGATACTGAAGAGGAACTTCAGGGAACCTGTACACTACGTCTGAGAGTGGACTTGCCTTTGCACTCTGTCCTCCTCCTCCACAGAATATTGCACTAATTAATACTCTGAGGCAGATTTTTTTTTTTCTTTCAGATCACATTATCTCCCATTAAGTACACAACATGAGATAGCTATTCATCAGTACAGCATGCAGAGTAAACAACTGAAGATAGGTTATTCTAGCATCTCATAAGAAAGGAGAACTTGTCATTTGCCAGCTGTCTACCTTTCAGTTGTGGTGCAATGTCTTCTTTAGTAGTGTAGGGGTCACAGCGAAAGCTTTCCAGTAAATCAATGGTGCACTGTCCCACGATGGGCTTCCGTCCAAATGGTCTGTGGTCTATTACTTTAATAACAAGAGATGGGCTGTATAACTCCTCTTTTGGCAAGAGCTAAAAATGAAAGGTTAAGAGTTTATTTATAATGCAAACAGAAGGAAAATGAAGAATGAAGATTTCTCCCCCTAAATTAGAGCTGTTACTTTGTTTACTTAATATTGAACTACTATGTTCTATGGCTCTATGGTGAATGAAAATGTCTAACCTGATATTATGAGTCAATAAAAGTCAGTTAGAATAATTTTAATTGCCTCAAATCTTGAATCTTATTGACTCTTACACAGCTCCCATCCTAGCAGCACGAAAGTACCCACAAATCTACAGGTAAATTGATGCCTTTTCAAATTAATTTGTATGCACTGCACTGGATTGTGCATATAAAATTGTATAATTTATCAATGACTTTGCAGACATGTCTACATGATCTTTACGAAATTGCTTATGTTAAGTCAAAAAAAAGATGTGCAAGTTTTCTGTTCATTCTTGTGTAACAATTCCTTGACCTTTAGCAGTATGGGATAACTTGTTTTGCTATAGATAACTGGTATATTGTTTTTTGCAACGTACAACTTTCATAAAGAGAACAGAAGACGGAAAATTTGGTGTCTTTTTGAGGTTTTTGATCACCACAGATTCCACCATTTCACCCCCACATTCCACAATGAGACTTGGAGACATAACAGGTGCCAGTTGGTAGTTTTTCATATTCCGCAACCCCCAAGCCAGAATCTGTAAAATAAAATTCGATATAAGCAAAAGAGGGAGATGATACATCAATATGCTTAATATGATACTCAAAAAGTAGGAAAGAAGAAATGAAGCCTTTTTTAATAATACAATATATTGGCAAAATATTTCAAGGTGGTTGTTCTAGGAAAGTTAATGGAAAAAATGAAACTTGAAAACACTTAAAAAAAAATCTCCCATATTTCTCACTATGAAATTTTTTTTTTGAAGCAAACACACAAACTTACTATCTAGAGGGTGAGGTGACTGTACTTCTGTTCCATTAGTTTAAGAATAAACCATACCTCAACAGCAGTGAGTTGAACTACTGGTCTGATTCCTTGAGGTACCATGTAAAGCTTTGGTGCTCTTTGTGATGGAAGAATTGGAAGGTTGGCGCCACCCTGTTCAGACACAAACATGAGTATTAGTTTCTCTCATCTTCCTTAAATGAAATACCTCGCAAGTATTAAGACAATTCTTCACATTATGATTCGCTATGAAAGGATATATGTAATAGATCATATTATATGATATATACACACAAAACAATTTATAAGAAATATATACCTTGTCCCTCAAAATAAGTTCTGCAGCAAAAAGAATGTCTCCACTAGCTTTGCCATTATTTGTTACAGGATACCAGAGCAGTTTTGGTGTGATGTCCTCTTCTGGAATTAACTTGACCATGGGGGAACAAACACTTCTTCCAAGGAATTCATCTTTACCCTGCAACCGAAAATAGCAATCATAGCCATTAATGTGATTCTCAATTAATATAAATAAATAAAAAAGTAATCAGGGTAAAAATCAGTCACCTACCACTTGGTCACTGTCAAAAAGTTCAATAACAACATTAGGTGGGTTTTGGGCTACTGTCTGTGGGTCCCCATAGATCTCGATTTCATGAAATATGAGAGTTTGGTCCCATGTAGGATTGAGAGTTGAATGAATGATCTCAGTTGTTTTGCTTTGATGGAGGAAAGAAACATGAGCGTACGGATCTGAAATATCATACAAAGATTAAAAGCATAGAGTTACAGACAAACAAAACCCCATAAGGCCATAAGGCACACAAGCACAATTTTTATCAAATATAGTATGATGTTTTTCTTCTGTCACTACCAGTTCTATAAGCCATTCTATATAAAACAAAAGCCCACACATACACATAATTTACATTTAATAGAGTAAATTCCATTTGATTACTAAATAGTTTCCTTTATACAAGTCTTGATTAACTGAGTAATAAATTAAAATTATAAAATGTCTTTCAAATCAGAAAGAGAACTTGAAAATTAAAATGAAAAAAGATTAAACAGTGGCTATATTAATCTCCTTTTAAATATTTTTGTTGTCTCCATTGATAGACAACTGCACAGCCTCATAAATAATATAAAGAAATAATTCTAGTTCTGACTAGTTGCCAAACAACAAATTCTCCCAGGCTATACTGCTCAGGTCAAGCTTTGGTTTCAAACATGCTTATTTATAGCAACCTCTTCTTGTGAAACAGCTGAATGATTAAAGTGGTCTAGGCCCAGTGTTTGGCAGGTCTTTAAATCATCAAGAGCTTTGTAGAAGGTATCTGATGATGGTCATTAACATTTCCTGTACAAATTGCAATTACTAGGGACTAGAGGCTATTTTAAAGGTTATCTTTAGGTCAGTTTCAACAGCTTCTGGCTAGGTACCTGATCAGAGTTTTATAAAATTTGGCTAAGTCTTCAAACTAGCTTGAGAGGAAAATAAAATGTAGATGTGCTAGTTTAAGTGTGACTGCATCTGATGTATCTGCCTTGAATTCTACATATGCAAATTAGAGGCATTGTTTCTTTGTATTGCTTGTAAGTGGTGCATATTGAAGTAAGATCAAATACACACAGGCAGCTGTACCAAAACCCCCTCATTTCAGAAAACAGCATTACAATATCTACAGCTCTGTATCTTCTGTAGCAAATTAACAAATGCATTACACTTACTCAATGAAAACAGGAAGAAAAAGAAGAATGCAAATGGAGGTTGATGGGGAAAGACAATCCTCAGCTGCCCATTTAATCTTTATCCTTGGCTGACTTATTTAAAGGAACTGTAAAGTCATATTCTTGCAGAATCTAATTTCAATTTGCTCTCTGACTTCCCAGTGGAATTTTAATTTTAATTAGCAAAATTTAAATACTTTATAACCTGAGTATTGAATTAAGTCTGACTACAGAGATGCTAAATGGATACAGCACTGTTGTACTACTTAAGTGCTGGAAATAATAGGGCAACAGTTATGCTCATATAAACAAAGCCACGCTTATCAGTAAGGCTCAAGTGTAGCTTTCTACAAGTTCATCTCAGTAATGAATTAATATAAAATACTGAACATTGAGAGGCAATTGGTGACATAACAGCCATCCAGCTCTCTTCATCCTTGCTTTTGTGCAAGCTTCCTGCAGGACAGCTTAGGAACTGTATGTAGGCTTTGGTTAGAAGGAGAAGCTAAGGCACAGGGAAGGGACTGGTCATGGGAAATTCAGACCTTACTTGAATTCCCATTCCCTCACCGAGCATTTGTTGGCAGCAGATACTGCACATTCAGAGCATTTCTTTTTTGGCAGCTTCTGGGGCAGTACTAACCAAATCTGGATCCTACGTAATGAAGCTGAGACTTCCTTTATGGCATGGTTTCAGTAGCTGGGACCTATGCACAGACCTTAAGGATTTAAGATATTCTATAGATAAACCAAGTTACTAGTTCATTGCAGAAGTGGGTTTTCTGCACCATTAGCAGGGATTTTCCATACCTGAAAAACTGTCTTTGTCTAAAGCCATGAGATTTCTTGCCTGGTAGATGTAACAGCGAAGATGGTAAGTATATACTCCTGCATCAAATAAATAAAGAGTTCAACTGCATTATACAGGCTTCTTTTCTGTAATTAAGATATTCTGAGTTCATAAAAATGTCTTACACATTTTAACTCAAGTACAAGCACTGTAGTATCATTTCTACTTGTCTTTTGGAGTGACAAGTGTACTAATGCTAACGAGCTAGCACTTGAGAACATTTGTTCCAACACAAAGCAGAAAAAAAAAACCCAAAAAAACACAAATTCTTTTTCAACATATGATCATCTAAAAATCCTTCTATTCAAAAATTCCTGTTTGAAATGGTGTGATAATCTAGCTCCTCCAAAGAGAATCAAGAATTGGGAATTCCTGTGCTTAATTTATTCACTACAGCACTTGCAGGGACCTGGAAGTTCCACATTTTTAGCTATTAGCTCTAGAAAATTATTCCAATTCCAACTCTGTCTTTTTGTCTGAAAGATTAAAAAAATCACTGTGGCCAAGGCAGAATAGTTTAAGAGGAAGATGTGAGAATGGCCCAAACCCAGGACAGCATGTAGCTAAGTTACTACAGCATTTCTTTAAAAGATGTCAGTTCAAGCCCTTTTAGCCCTTGCAAAACTGAGTCACTCATCGCCTCATTGAGCTGAAACCTTTGAACTCTGGCAGGAAAAGGTGTCATTTTCCTCCTATTGTGGTCATCTTTTAAAAGAAACCACAATAATCTTCTGCAGGTTCTGAAAGACAAGATTTAAGATTTAGGCACCCATTCCCAGCAGGGAGATCAAGTTCTGTAGAGTCTAAATAAAGACAAGTGTCCTAGTCAGCAATCCTCAAAAAGGATTTCGAGTATTAGCAGTGGATGGGATTGGCCTCTGTTCCTATTATCTAACACTGGTGGCTTCCATCTCAGTGTCCCTGCTTTTGTTAATCTCATTACAGTGATTCCAAGGCATTTAAAGCCAATCCAGGTTGGCAAAGTTACAGTTTTGTTCACTTTGCCAACTCAACTGCATGGTCTTACTGCTTCCTCTAGGTCAGGCATTTGTCTGTCCCCACAGTGAACTGGTTAAGTGAGCAAAAACAGCAAAAAATTAACTGTACGGAAATCTTCTCCACTGGCTTAGCTCCCTGCATTGTTCTGGAGGGACCCTAATGCTAAAAATGTATCATTTAAGCCTAAAATTCAGGTGCTGCAATAGTTAGCTTTAGAATTCCTGTCCCATACAGGTTTTAAAAATGTCTGTGTGACAGTGGACTGAAATATCAAAATCACTAACTATGATTTTTCTTTTAGTAGCCTAAATAGGGCTCAGTCAAGGATCAGAGAGTAACTAGAACAGGAGGTATATAAACCTAGATGTAAACCACAAAGAATCACAATTCTGTTTGAGACCAGGGAGAAACAGACATGACAAGGCGTTTGACACTGTCCCACATGACAT